TTGCACTTTCTTAGTCCCTCATAACAACTCTTATTGTCAGAACCTGTTTGTTTATGAGATTACAAACCTAGAAGAATAGAGTGGTTTGGATAATTTTGGCACAGGGCTTGTGCTCAGATGTTTGATAATAATTGACCTTCCTTCTGTGGAGAAATCTGGCTCACTGCACAGCTGCACGTATGCATGTGCCAGTACATTGCTGAGGAGTGAACAACTGGTGGGCAAGCATTGCTAGTCCTGAATGTGCAGCCTGATGCAGCAAATAGCAAGCAAAATGTACTTTGGAAGCAGTTGTTCTGGATTTTATTTAACTGTATTCCCCAGTTAGACAACTTATGTTGAAGGGTAGTTAGCAGCTTAGTAAGAAATGAGACAGCATTGTTTTTTTATGCTGCACAGGAGCTTCCCAAAACTAGTCTGTTTTCCAAATGGTAGCAAATGTACATTCAAAATGACAGACCTTTTGGCTCTCATTGATACAGGATGACACAGACAGCTGATGTAGAATTGAAATAGAAGCCTGCAGCTTTATATAGCTAACATACACTGTGAGTGTAGGGCATCTTCTAACTTTTCTGAATGCTCAGTAGTAGACCTGATTGCAGCAGGGACTGGAGAGGACTTCACTAAATTTCTAAAGACTCAGGGTCTTCTCTGTGCAAGGTAGTGTTAAGCCTTAGTAAGTTGCAACAAAGCTGAGTTTCTTTCTGTGATGCCCACAAAACCTTCTTAATCGGTCATAAAACAAAATGTGTTTGATACGGTTTTGTTCTTGAACATTGACTTGTTTTGTTTCTCTGTATTCTTTTTAAACGCTTACTGGGGCAAATAAATCATTAGTATTACTCCTAAAACTGAAGTTAAACTGATTGGGCCATAATTCTTCAGCACTTTTTAACTTTTTATGCAGTCTATCTTTTTTCATTCTGCATTCTATTAATTTTGTTACCAATATACTCAGCTGACATTACTGAAGAAAATGCATTTAACGCATCTGTCTTTTCAGGGTCATGTCAGGCTTTTGATGTGAATGGCAGTGCTTTTGTTGGTCTTTGTCTTTTGCTATGTGCATTCTCCATAACATCTTTGCTTTTCAGATCTTGCCCCCATGTGCTTATGGTGGTTTTCATGCCCTACCTTAGTAATCTGACCTAGTTTCCCTTTCTTGAATGCTGTCTTTTTATATTTTAAGATCAGTGAAGGCCTCATGACTTGGTCAACTTTGCTTCTTACTACACAACTGTCCTTCTCACAATAGGACTATTTGGATACAATAGCTCCCCTTTTAAATTATCAATTTCCATAACTCTTTTTCTTTGCGTTGGGCTTCTCCATATCTCTTTTTGCCTTGCGCTTGCCTTCTGTGAGACTTTCTTGAATTTGTTGAGTGTCTACTTTCTTGAAGTCCTGTGCTGGATTTTTTTAGAGCTGTTCTTACCATCTTAAGGATTATCAGCCACACTGTTTCATAGTTACTTTTACCCAAATTGTATTCCAACTTTATATGCTTTACTAGTTACTTTAAATTAGCAAGAGGGATATTCTAGGTTGGATTATCTCTACGTTCTTTGTTATGACAAAAATAATTATTGGTGACTGTTTTAGGAACTTGTTAGGAAGTCTGTATGTAGTAGAATTAATGAGACGGTCAAGATCTTACTAGTTAACATTGTTCTTTAAACTAGCAACTAACCGATTGTAATCAGTGTAATTGTAACCAATGTTTTGGTGAATTAGATTTCAAAATACATTGTTTCTGCAGTCTTGAGCATAACTCTTAGGATTTGGGGTTCATTAGATGCATAGCTCTTACTCTAGGTTTCGAACTTCCTGTTTTTAACTGTGTGTGGGTGTATGCTGCTGGGGAGGGGTAATGGGAGAAAGTGGTGCCAAACTCATTAGAACATGTTTGTTGTGGAGAGATGCCAAATGAGCCTGAGTCCGAAGAATAATCTTCTGCCTCCTTCTGTCTTCTCCCTCTGTCCTCCCAGTTATTATGGTTTTGTGCTAGTTTGATCTCTCCATCTCAGCTCCATGAAACTTAAAGTTTGAATGCACATCTGCTTTTTTGTAAAACCCAGTTACGCTGAGAGTTGACAAACTGTCTTAAGTATTTAAAGATTTCTTGGTTATTGCTGCAAGAAAATAAGACTACTATGGTGAGAGTTTTAACCCAAGGAATGTGCTGCTACTGTTCCTAAAGCCATTTATGACAGTAAATGGGTTTTACACAGGACTCAAAGTTTTCTGACTTTGGTTTTCCTATAATATTTTTATTATTATTTCAAAATTTCTTTCTCTCTTTTATTTTGAAGTATTTGAGTAGCTGGATAATTGTTTAGTTATTTTTTATGTCATCCTTGTATTAGGATTAACTTTTTTCTTTCTTGACCTACAATCCTAATACTAGTAATAAAATTAGGAAACAAAAATGTCTGCTATCTTACTCATAAGTATACCAGTAGATGTGGAAAATCTAACTAGCTACTGTCTGCCAACAGCAAAAAGAAAGAGTTTTTTTTCCAACTGAAGTTCAAAAAAAAAAAGATTTTTTTTAAAAAAAGGTGACTTTTGTTTATTATCCTAGACAAAAGATAGAGGAATACAGTTTGGACAGTGTGTTTAATATAGTGAGCTTGTGTTAATTATTTGTATGATGTGCGGAACAGTCCTTCCTGAGTAACCTGCATCCCATTAGTGTATACATATTTAGAAATCAATCTGTGACGGTGTCCTGTGCTCTTAATGCATGTAATGCTAGTTAATGATGTAATTATGTAATACAGATAATTTCATATGTTATATTTTTATATAGCATATTTATATAATACTTACAAAACTACTTAATACTAGTCTTAAATGCATTTTAATGTCTCCTTTAGTGAATGACATACATGCAGCTCTGTGCCCGTGAACCTTCAGGCATTTTTTTGTTAAGGGTCTGAGGAACATAACCTGCTCCCTGATAACAGTATACTCTCTCTCTATTTGAAAATGCTTTTTTGTTGTCTCTGAGGAGATTTTTTTTTTTTTTTAAGAACAATGGATTTAAGTTAATTTTAAGGTGATTGCTAATAGAAAAGTCAGCTTGATTGACAACCTGATTTTTTTGATCATGGAAAGGCATGAAGTATATGGTTTCCTGTATAGCTACTTCATCTGATTGTGAGAGAGAATAGATTTATTTTAAAAGCCAACTTTATTTCAAATAGCAAGGCTGCAACTAGGGGACGGTATTAAAATATCTACTAGAGTAAATATATATATATATTTTTTTTTTTAAAAATGAGCAAGGTAAGGTAACTTCTAGCCAGCGGTGCAAAAAGATTTGGTTAGAAACCCTTGAGCCTGACGATAACTTCTAATGAATCTTGCAATCTGAAAGGACTGGAAAAATATTAATATCCTACTGATGCTCAAGGCGGGGTAAGCAGTATGGTGTGGGCAGTAATTGGCTAGACAGTTTCATGTTCTTGGGGACAAAAACCATCAAAATCAGCTAATACATGAGATGCAGTTTATCTTATTCAGTCTGAATTTCTGGAAAATAATCATGTAAACATGGTGTTTCATCATTATCTTTGATACAGGAGCAGTTCAATTCTCAGTAACGTTACATATGCTTCTGCACAGTATTCTCCTACTACTGGAAAAGAAACTGTTTACAAAAAAACACACAAATTTTAGAAACAATAATTTTTAAAAAGATTATCTTAAATGTTAGTGACAGGCTGAAAGTTCTCAAAGTGATTCAGCATTAAAATGAATTACTCAGATTGTTGAAACATCATCACTAACAGTTTTTGTTATCATTACATGGCATGTTATCCTTAACAGGATAGATCCAGTGTCTGGTGGGGATGCTCCAAGTATATTTGATTTCAGCTGCTAGGAGAGAGGGAACGGACTAGTGAACCACCTGAGGTCTCTGTCAAACTTGCTTGCTATGACTGTATAGGGAAGGATCTGTTCAACAAGGGAAAAGAGTCAAGAGTGGAAGCATAGTGGTTACAAAATAAGGAAAAAGCTGTTGTTTTTTTTTTTTTTGATTTTGTTTCAGAGACAAATGTCTCTTACTGGCAGTTAATTCAATGTTGAGAAGCAGGGGAAGAAAATTTGCTTCAGTTCTACAAGATGACGCTGCAGACTCTGTGCTCTCTCTTGATTGCTTGTTTTTCTTTGGAATACTTCCTGTATTTTGCGTAAGTTTGAGAGATTTGAGAATGTTTTGTTTTTGCCTTGTACTCAAACGTGGTGAGACTAGCCTTGAAAAATGCTGTTTTGTGGGATGGGTGCTTGAGAGTTTTATAAGCAACCAGAAAGCACTGTTTGGTATAAGATTCTTCGTAATATCTTTAATAATGTTTCTTGTTAGGCCTCTTGTGATTGAATGTTTTTAGCTGTTTATAATCTTCATCGAAGGCTCGGTCACTGTCAGATGCTTTCTAATTTTAAAGGATGTAAATATAATGCATATGATATCCCAGTGCCTAGAAGTATTGACTAGTGGGATTGTACAATGTATCGTATTTGTTCGTGTGTCTATCTAGGAGATTAAGTTTTTAATGGATTATGATAAATAAAGTTTAATTTATTAACTACCTGGAATGGACTGTAGTTATGAAAGTTATATTTTGAATTGAGCGCTCCAATTTAGATCCTTTGAAGATTTTAAACCTATTTTCTGTATGTTACGTTTTCATCCACTAAAGATGTATGTAAACTGCTGAATCTGGTTGAAAACAAGGTTTATGAAAGAAAGCCATAAGCCATAATCTTGGCCAGCTGTAAATATGTAGATTTTTTGAAAAATCTAAAATAGAGATGAGTTTTATGTTGTGTTGCTAGTCCAGTGAGCAATGTAAGAAGTCTGGGATGTTGAAAATAGGACACACCTAGGAAACAAAATATTTTGTCTGGGACGTTTCTGAAGCGTTGCACTCTGACTCCCTGTTCCTCCTTTGTTTGTTTATTTATTTTTATTCTTATTCCTTTTCCAGATCTTGAGTCAGAAGACTGTGCATCCATATACATCTTTAATGTAGACCAACCATCATCATCTGTAAATCAACCAATTTGTATTCCTCGCCATGGACTGCAGTCTCACTCCTCTCCTCTATCGCCACCTACAAGACTTCAGAGTCATAAGAACTATGAAGGGACTTGTGAGGTACCGGAATCCAAATATAGTCCACTAGGTGGACCCAAACCCTTTGAGTGCCCAAGTATTCAAATTACATCTATTTCACCTAATTGTCATCAAGGGATTGAAGCCAACGAAGATGAATTGCACACAAATGGCACAGAAAATGAGTATATGGAAAGGCCGTCACGGGACCATCTCTATCTTCCTCTTGAACCATCATATAGGGAATCATCCCTTAGTCCAAGCCCTGCCAGCAGCATTTCATCCAGAAGTTGGTTTTCAGATGCTTCCTCCTGTGAATCCATTTCCCATGTTTATGATGATGTAGACTCAGAGCTAAATGAAGCAGCTGCTCGATTTACCCTTGGCTCTCCTTTGGCATCTCCTGGTGGCTCTCCGAGAGGTCCCAGTGATGAATCTTGGCAACAGCCTTATGGATTTGGGCATGCCTTGTCACCTAGACAGTCACCCTGTCATTCTCCCAGAACTAGTATTACAGATGAAAATTGGTTAAGCCCTAGACCAACATCAAGGCCCTCATCAAGACCTACATCCCCCTGTGGGAAACGACGACACTCCAGTGCTGAGATTTGCTATGCTGGTTCTCTCTCTCCTCATCATTCTCCAACTCCGTCACCTGGCCATTCTCCCAGAGGAAGCATAACAGAAGACACATGGTTAAACACTTCTGTCCATAACGTACAAGGTCTTAATTCTGGCCTTTCACCATTTCAGTGTTGTACAGAGACTGACATCCCTCTAAAAACAAGAAAGACCTCAGAGGATCAAACTGCCACTTTATCTGGAAAAATAGATCTCTGCCCTGAAGAACAGGGAAACTTATCGTCATCCCTTGAAACTGCAGTAGATGACTGCTCTGGATCTCAACACACCTTGAAAAAAGATTTGCCTGGAGACCAATTTCTTTCTGTTCCTTCGCACTTTACTTGGAACAAACCAAAGCCTGGCCATACCCCTATATTTCGGTAAGTGGTTAGAAAATGTGCAAGTTGTTCAGAAGGCTTCCCTCCCTTCTTTCCCAATCTGTGCTTCTTACATAGATGTATTAACATGCTTATATTTCAGTGATGCATTAAGACTTTAAAAAGAAAGTTCTTGTAGACAGCTAAATTATAATTAGAGGCAAACAAGTTGATACAGCAAATGCCCATCTGTTTCTTCTTTTTAAACTGCAGTGGCCATGTTTTAACACAGGCAATTGACTTTAATTAATAAAGTTTGCTTGTAGGTATGCATGCACAGAACCGTACTGAATCAAATGTGTGCAGCTTTTATAAATGTTTGCATTTTAAGCTGTTGCATTTAATCTAAGTAGTACAAAATGTTAATGCAGCTAAACAAACTGATTTTATAAAACTGCGAAAACCCGAAAGAGGTGGATTTTTTTTTTATTTGTTTTTGTTTTCGCTTGCGTCTTTGGGCTGATTCCAAATCCTAATTCTAGAGAGAAAACAAATTTGCATGTCATACTGAAATCTATATAGAACGAAGTGATTTGTGGGCTGTCGTTCTAAGGGTATTTCTGTCATTGCGGTGCTGACTTAAATGGCTCTTGCCCTTTTGCAGTCCTGTTGTGTGCTAGCAGGCTGATTTGTGGAGACCTAGGGACCTGATTCAGATGAGGGGTGGGGGGAAATTCGCCCTCCTTCCCATTCGGTTACTTTTTAGATGGAGCGTGTCTTTGATCTGGCTGACCATAAAGCTACACGGACTGCTTTGCTAGGACAGTGCAATTGGTGGACTAGAAATGCTTTAGGTAGCATTGCTGCTGAATGGACAACTACTGCAGTTACTTAGCTCAAACCATCCATTTGGTTCCTTAACCTTTTTCTTGTTCTGCTAGGTAAAAAGGGGGGGGAGGGGGGAGGAAGCTTCAGGGTATGAGAAGGGGGGAGGGAAGGGACTTGAGATTGTCCTTTCTCTCTACAGATGAAGAAATGCTTCGAGCTGATTAAATGTGCTTGCTTCTGAACGTACAAGGCACATTGGTAGCAGGAAGAAGTAAATGGGCAAGAAGCTGCCCATCCCTTGAAGAGTTCTGTACAGATATTTTGTAAAAGGAAGGGTGTATTAGGTTAATATCTGTAAAACAATTATCTATGTGATAAGCTGTATTGTAGGTTTATATTTAAAACACCATCGTTCTGTCCGCAGGCAGATTTGCTCACCGAGGATGTAGTGGTTGAAGCAATTGAACGATTGAACGTCTCAGCATTTACTTCCTTAGAGTATATTTTTTTTTTTTTTTTTTTTAAAAAAAAAAAAAAAAAAGAGAGAGAGAGATTCTACAGGCATGAGTAAATGACCGTCTTGATACTGATGGTAAAAAGGGTAGGATTCTCCAGATACAAGCTTTACTTTGAAAAAGGCAAATCATAACTCCTAAAAGTTATTGGCAAAATATTGCTGTCATGATGAAGTCATCTTTGCAAAGCACTTGTTTTTTACAGAGCATACCCTGTATTTTTTATTTTAAAAAGAATGATTTGGAAGTTCTTCATGATTTTAACATTTTTTTTTTCTTCCTTGAAGTAACTGAAGCAAAATAAAAAGAAAATATTTCTGTCAAACCTTCAGAGGTGTTGTACAGGACACTTACACGGCACCTTTTCTGCTCTCAGGGAGTTTGAACTTCTTAGCAAAAAATTTAGAACTAACTAAGGCCTAATAACCCAAGTTTTCTGAACAGGCATTCTTCCCAGGGACCTCCCTCAAAAGCACACCTTGTTGAAAAGTGGACGCTGGCTTTTGTGAGAACATGCTAGTTTATCTTCAGTAATTCCCCTTTCTAGTGGCTTTTTCCAAATTTAGATATCAATCTTGCATCATTTTAACATCTTGATGCATCATTTCCTGATGACTTGTCCAATGAAAAGGCCTGTTGCAGAAATTTTTTTAGAGTACCTTTCCTTTTTCTCAGTTGAGCACGTGACAATTCTCAGGGCTGTGGGTCTTGTGGAATATCAAAGCACTTGCTCATTTTTGAAGGCTGCTGTAACTGATACTTTCAGTGTGTGATTTATTTAGTTGGAGAACTAATGGAGAGAACTCATCTGTAACTCTTACTACTGAGAGGCATGCTTACAAACAAAGACGAATGAAATATTAACCAATACTTTCAGGATACAGTGAAACATTCCTGAAACAAATGGAAGTGAAGCGAATCATAGCTTTAAGAGCCTCCAGAAGGCGTGACTTTTAATGGGTACTGTCAGACAGGCTTCAGCGTTCGTCTGAGTTCTGACACTGAATTTTTGAGTTTCGCTGCTTGACATTTGTGTTGATTAGATCAGTGTTGCACAGAAGGCTCATTTTTTTTAATTAATACAAAATCTACTCTGTTAATTTTAGAACTAAGTTTTGTAGAAATTCTTTAAAAGTTGTTCTTTAAAAGAGTAGGTTATTTGTCTCTGAAGGAGCACTGTTAAAATGTATTTAGTCATTTTGTCAGTTTTGCCTAATTGTATAATAACAGATTTTAATTTCTTTTCAGAAAGGTACTGACTGGGGTTAGTAGATATGTGGTTTTAGGGGGATTGCTTTCTATGTCCCTCTGTGTAGCTATTTATGAGGGAGAATTCTGAGGCTTAGGAGGCTACCTTGCTAGCTTGGAAAAGTCAGTCTTACAAGATCTGAAATTACTGCGTTGACAGATGCGTTAACGGTATTTAAGTTTTTTTTAAAAATCTGTTGCACCTAAAGGTGTACTGTTTGTCACTAAAAGACTTTTGTTTCCACTAAAATAGCAATAATTATTTTTATTAAACAGATTAAATAAAACGATGGTAATTATTTTTACTGAACTGGTTATCTTGGAGTATTTATGTAGGATATTCAGCAGTCCTGCCTTGGCATTTATGTTAACTCACAGGCTGCAATTTGTTGCTAAGAATTTCATGACTGTGTCTGCTGTTCTATCTGCTCTGCATCTTCTTAAAAAAAAATAAAAAAAGGAGGAGGAAGTATATTGAAAAGGTAGGGAGTTTGTTAAGAGTGAGCACTAGTGAAAGATAAAAGCAGATGAACAATGTGGAGCGTATAGGTGTTTAGCAAGATGGGCTGTGGATCTAGGTTTTTCTGCAACATAACCAAAATAATTAAAACAACAGCTCTTCTGTTAAACCTGCTTGCTCTCATAGTGGGGGGGGGCTGAGCAGAATTGAATAAAAATCAGTTTTACAGTTTTCATAAAGAATTAAAATTGTTTTTGAAATGTCAGGATTTATGTAAAAGCTATCTCTGAAGAACTTCTCTAATTGTAAAAGCGAGAATAAAGCAGAAGACAATAAAGACTATACTTATTCACAAGTGAATTAAATAAAACTATTAGGCAGTATGCATTTGCTGACAAAGAGTCTGACTACTGAGTTAATGGAAATGGCTGCATTGACAACTTAGTGTAACATTGAGCTACTCGGCACTTGTAGCCTGCTCCACAGATGCAATGAGAGCGTGTACCTTCAGTATGTTCAGCCATTTCATTCTGTCATCTGTCGTTTGGATTTTAATGTTGATGATGCGGAGAAGCTAAGCTCACTCTTACACTTTAATAATGAATTGAAAGAAGATCCACTGTTTCTTAAACAGTTTGTGACAGTGACCAAAAGCAAGCACTGCAGTTATGTTTTAGAATTAGATTGAATAAGCATAAAAGATAGGAACTCTTGATTTTAAAATATTTCTCTCTCTCTTTCTCTCTTTTGCGTGTGTGTGTGTGTGTATATATATATATATATATGCATACAATTAATCAGCTTTTTAAATGTCTTGATTGTGTTATCAAGTACGATCTAGTGCATGAAGTAAACCAGATTACAGATTTACAGAACGTTAAATAGTCATCAGAGAAGAAGGTGCTGTCTGCACGTTTCATACCACGTCATACCCCATACCATGTAAGGTAAATTACTCCCGTTTGTACCGAGGGACAGTTTACTGTGGCTAAATGCGCATACCGGCCAGAGTAGTTTCATTCACTTGGAATCAATACTCTAGTTTATCTATGAAGTCCTGACCGCTCTTTTCCTTTCTCCTATATTCAATAAGCGTAGGATGCTTATATTTAACTAAATATACTAATGTATAATATGTTTTTGTGCATTTTAGTCATACTTGATTCTTTGCAAATAATTTTGAACAAAAAAGTTGTCATCTAAGACAGAAAAACATAATGTGCCAGTTTGTAGTATATGAAAAATATGTGTATTATCTGTCCTGAGTCATATTCCTGCTTCCTAGTCAAAGAAAAGTCCAGATGAGTGGAGAGGGACAGAAGCAACGCAACAGTTCCTATAAAGTAGGCATTGAGCAACTAGATAGTTCTGTCCTGTCTACATCTAGGACTAGTGAAGATTTGAGTAGTCTATTAGCCACAGAGTATCTGGCAGTGCTGTCGTTAACCAAATACTTTTGCAGATGAGCATTTTTTGGATTGTGGATTGACTTGGTCATTTTACAGAATACTCAGCAATGCAGTTATCTGATCATTTTATTGATTATATTTTTATTCTTGTTATTCTTGTTTAAAATACTTCCCCCTGCTTCCCAGGCTGAGGGATAAGAACTGGATTTATTTGTGTCTCATGTTTCCCTGCTAAAGTAGTGGTAGTATATCTGACTTCCCCATTTGCTTGTTACCCCATTGTTTCATGAAGATCCTGATTTTAGGACTGTTTATTAAGCATCTACCATCAGGGCTTGAATTTTACCCCCACTTGAAAAAACTCAAAACTTTTCCACTCAGTCTCTTCAAAAGCCATGTTTCTAGGCTTTTGCATACAGTGATTTCAGACTCTTTCATTAATTGGATTCTTTTTCTTTCATTCCTTTCCCAAATTTTGTATCTTCTATTTGAGAAGAAACATAGATGATGCAAGTTCACTTTCTTATTTAGATAGCCTATATCAGTTAAGGCTATAAATAATCTAGAAGAATACCAGAGAAAAGTATTTCTTCCTAGAGGCTA